GGGGCTGCAAGCATGAAAGCAGAAAATAGAGAAGGGAGGGCGGCTCTTCCTACTGTGAAGGCGAAGCGAGCGTCCTTGGTGATGTCCCAGTGCCAGGGGAACACCGAGGAGCGGCGGCGCCGGCGGGAGGACATGCCGGGCCACCAGAAGTGCCCTTCCTCCTTGGGAGCCCCAAAAGCATCGGACACATCGTACTCTGCCAGCTCCTGGAACACCTGCAGGGAGAGGGAAAGGGAAAGGGCATGGGCTGCTCTCCTTGGCTGCTTTCTCCAGCTGGGGAGGATCACAGGGCTCAGGGAAAGGGCATGGGCTGCTCTCCTGGCTGCTCCCAACAGCTGGGGAGGATCACAGGGCCCAGGGAAAGGGCATGGGCTGCTCTCCTTGGCTGCTCTCAACAGCTGGGGAGGATCACAGGGCTCAGGAGGGGACATCAGCACTGGGAGCTCTCCCTACCTGGCTGGCTGTCAGCTGGAAGCCTGGTTTGAGCAGGTAGACGCTCTTGTCCACCGTGGCCAGGCAGACACAGCTCCCTTTGGCAGCTCGGACCTTGATGTTCACAACGTCACCAGGCCTGGTCTCGTTGGCCGAGAGCGCCACGGTGACCTGGGAAGGGAAACGCCATTAAATCCGGTGACTGCCCCAAAATCCAGTGACTGCCCCAAAATCACTGGGATGATTTGAGACAATCACCCGGCCCTCCCTCTCCTGTACCTGGTTCTCAAAGGAGGAGGTGACAGGGACCTGCAGGCTGTCCGTGACCCCCTCTCCGTTCTCCCTGACGTAGTACACCAGGAGCCGAGCCAGGGGAGCCATGGCGTGAACGACAGAGAACCTCAGGAAGGTCACACACACCTCAACCTCTGCTGCAGGAGTGCTGGGAGGTGCTGAAATAGGAATTGTGGGGAAAAAAAAATATAGTTTTATTTATCTAAGTCATTCCCTTCCTGCCCCCTCCTAATGCTGACGGGCACAGAACTCTCCATCCAGGACTTGCATTCTTCCCTTGTTCCTGCTGCACACCTGCTTGAGTTCACAATATTTCCCTTTTCCTCCTCGTTGTGGAAGGTAATTAGCACTCCTAATTTAATGAGCAGCATGGAGAAGGTGGGGAGGGAAGGATTACTCAGTGGTTTTCCAGCCATGAAATCAAGAAAACACAAAGTTTATTTTCAATGGCTTGATAACTTAACAGAAAATGTTATCTATTGCTGGAGAATGCTGATGAGAGAAAAGGAATAAGCTTGAAAAAGGATGATATAGTTTGTAGAGCAGAGAATCACTGGAGCTGTTAAATAGAATCACAGAATGGTTTAGGTTGAAGGGACCTTTAAAGATCCTGTAGTTCTGTGGACAAGGATGTGTTTCACCAGACCAGGCTGCCCCACAGAACCTGGCCTTGAACTCACCCAGTGACAGAGCAAACTGTGAATGCAACAGCTCAGAACAAACCTTCAGTGCAGAGAATCATAAATCCTAAATTACTGACTCCCAGAAGCTTGGTGGGTACTGGAGGGAGGTTCCTGTTCCTCTTTCCCCAACTCCCACAGCACAATCAGATTTTCCTTTGGCAGGTGTTATAATCATCTTCCCAACCCCACCATTTTTCACTCCCCAAATCCACCAGATTTGTGTGTTTCTGTTACTCCTTGTGCAAACCAGGAGTTCCCATTTCATTTCCCTTCCCCCTGTGGGCTGTGTGATCTCCTTTATCAGCCCATTTAATTTTCTCTTTCCATCCAATATCCTCTCCTCAGTTTAAACTCAGCCAATTTAACCAACTCCCCCAGCCCTGCTACTGCACTTCAAGCAAATATTAGATTTTCCTCATCTGAGAAACACTTCAGAAAGACCAAAGAAAACTTTTCATGAGTTGCCCCTCTTGGAGAACATTTTTATATGCCTGAGGGCAATGGATTTCACTATTTCTCTTGCACAAATATTCTTTAAGGAGCATGACATTAACAAAAAAGGTGTGGAAAGGGATTTTTTTTTGCTGAAAATAGAATTTTGCTGCATTTCTGGTGTTGGCTACCTGTTCCTGGGAAGCGTGTGAGGTCAATGTTCCTCTCCAGGGCTGTGGTGGCTCTTTTGCTCCTCTGCTGGGTGACATTGCTGGGCTGCAGCCCCGACAGGACGATGTTCCCCCTTGATGCCACCTCGTAATGCAGAGTGAAGTTGCAAGGACAGGTGGATTTCACTGCAATCCAGGCCTCCTCTCCCACCTGCAGGCACGGACAGAAAAGCCAAAAATTTGTTTTGTTAGGAGTTTCTGGGTGATAAAGGGCAAAAAACTGCTTGGGTTCCAGGCTACAGGAGGTGTGAGCACTCTCCTAACAAATGGGTGCATTGAAAAGTGAATAATAGTAATGGTAGTAATAAACAATAATATTAATAATAATGTCATAATAAAAATAAAATAATAAAAATTAAAAATTAATAATAATTTAACAAAAATAAATATAATTTTAAAATAATAATATAATAAAATTATTAATAAAATAATAAAAATTAAAAATTAATAAAATTAATAATAAAATAATACAATAATAGTAAAAATTAATAGCAATAATTTAAAAATTAATAACAATAACGATTAATAATAAAATGAATTAATAATAAAATAATAGAATAAAATAATAAAACTAATAAATAATAATAACTAAATAATAGTAAAAATAAATAATAGTAAAAATAATAATAGATAATAAGGAAAATTTTATCATAATAATAATAAAATTTTAATAATAATAAAATTTTAATAATGATAATAATAGTAAAAATTAAAAATAACAACAATAAAGATGATGGTTATGATTATGAATTACTACATTAGCACTGTTCTCAGGGGCTTTTTCCACACTCAAAAGGAGCCTGTGTTCACTGCAAATCTACAGGAGACTGAGCTGGGGGTTGTGTGCATTAATGGAACAATAAAGGAATCTCTGGAATTCTGAAGTTAAGCCTTTTGGCACAGAGCAGCTGTCAGAATTGGTTGAATTTTAGACACCCCTTCAGTAGCCCAACCCAAAAAAGGAAAGAGTTGGGTTGGGGGTGGGAGGAGATGTGTGTTTGATTGTCTTTGAAATTTAATTGTCATTACATCCATGTGGCAAACACCAATTCAAACATCACCACGAAACAAGTGGGAAGAGATCCGAGGGAAATTGCTGCCAAATTACACCAAGCATTCCTCCAGCACCTTCCCCTCCTCACCCTCCTGCCATTTACATCAGAGCAGTCCCCAAATAAATAAAACCGCTCAATCTCAGAAAATCCCCAAAGAAATGTTCTGAAAATTTCTCTTTTTTCAGCTCCAAGTGTTCTCCCTGCAGAATTCACCCATGGCACCAAGAGAAAGGGCAGAACTGGAGCACAAGGAGCTGCTGATGCTGAAACACAGCGAGAATGCCACAGAGTCCAAGAGGGGCCTCGTGACACCAAATATTTGAAGTATTAAGAATTCCCCGGTGCAAATGATGAAACAATTCATTAAAAAAATGAATGTAGCTAATTGGAACACCCAGTAAGAGCTGGCAATGCATGGGAATGGTTCCCACATCAGCTGGTCACCCAGCTCCAAGCTTTCCCACAGAAGAATTAGTTCTAATCAGGTTATAATAAGAACAATGTGTTCAGATTAGCAGTGTATAATCCCCTTTCCATACCTCAGGAAACTTGTAAAAGATTAATTAGCCATTAAACTTCCATGAAATGCAATGATAAAAAAAAATAAAAGCTCTTATTTGGATACAAAGAATCTGAAACCAACCTCACAGACCTGCTGATAACAAATCTCAGTGTGTTTATGGCCAAAACTCACTTTTTTATTTCCACTATGCAGACCTTCAGAACATTTTCTTGGGTAAGAAGATACCCTGAACAACTCTCAGAAAAATTATGCAACAGATGTCATTATTAAATCAGATTTTTTTTCTCTAGGAGAGGAATCACGACAGCTTTTATAGGGCAGGATTACATTTTTAGAGAGGCTCCTACAAAACCTACCAAAGAAAACAAGGCAATCATGTTCAGAGCCCAATAACTGGAGGATTGAACAGATCCAGCTGAGATTTAAGCTGGAAGTTCCAGTGAGACTACACAGCCTTAATTTTGGTCTTCAGCAATTCAGCCCCTCCCACTAACATCACTTCCAATCATTTTCAGCCTGCAATCCGTGTCTGAGCATTACTGGAGGCACAGAACACACATTCAAATGTGAAATTATCAAGTTTTCCATGCCTACACCCACCCTGTCTGAACAGAAAGGGTTGGATTTGTGGATTTGTGCACAGACCACCTAGAGAATTTTGTTCAGCACCTTGTGGAGCCCACATTCAACAATTATTTGGTGGCTCCAGTGAAGCGCCTTCATCCTTTGTAGTGGAAATAGTTCAGGATCCCAGAATCAGGCACGTCCAGAAATATTTAATTAGAGCCAAGCGCTTTAAGCCAAGCAATGCAGTGGATTTATTTTAATTTCCATGCTGGAAGGTGAAGCCAACATACCTGGAAAGGTTTATCTGGTGCCTGGAGCTGGATGTGGCACTTGCTGGGTGAGTACCAGCTGCTGATGGACAAATAGTTGGGCAGATATTGATCCCCAGAGGGTTTCCCATCAATTGCTGTCACTTTGGTCTTTAAAAAAATGGAAAAAAACTTACATCAATGTTATGAATAGAAAGCTCATTTTGTTCTTTTTTAATCTCTCCTCTCCCATTTTATACCTTTCAACCCTTGACATCTTTACTCCCCAAATTTTGCCCCCTACCACCATGTTAAGGCGCATTTGGAGGAGCATCTTCTCATGGTGGTTACCAACATCAGCTCTCTTGGCAGCAGGAAACAAACCAGTGTTTGCTGTGTTGAAATCCAGAAGCTGGAGCTAAAAGGCACCGATTTCCTGTTTGCAGCGCTGGTTTATAAAGTGCAGGTTTGACAAGATTAATTCCATTAAAGCCTGCTAATCCCATAAGGAGCTTTCACCCACCTCCAGCCAGACATACTGGGCAGCTGTGGGGATGGAGGGGATCTCAAACTCCACCAGGCCATTCCTTGAGACCAGCTCACTTGTGTAAACGTTGTCCTTTGGTGTGAGCTCGGCTTTAATTCGGATGGTGACTCTGTCAGCTGGGCTTCCATCGGGGTAAGTGACCTCTACCTGCACAGTGGGGCGTTTATAGAACAATTAACTTTAAATCAGCAATTCCAGGTGGGGAAAAACCACTGGGGTCAACTTAAATCAGCCATATTAGTACACAAAACCATTAAAAACGGGATTATTCCTAATCTCACCTTGCCTTTGTAAGGCAGCCCAGGTTTGAACTGTTTCCTGGTGTCCTTGGAGTACTTGATGTCAATCAGCTGCTTCTGGACGGGCGTGGAGTCATCAAAGGTCACCTGCTTGCTGCCATCGGAGCTGATCACCGTGGCCCAGATGCTGACGGTGCCTCGGAAGTGCTCGGGGACGTCGGCCGGCATCATGTCCCTGACACACACCTCGAACTGCGCCGAGCCGTCCATCTGGGGTGGGCACACAGACGGGGTTGGCACCACACAGGGCACAGCAAACACAGCTAAAGCACAGGCACAT